ACCGAACCAAACGCACCATTAAAATTTATATTTCTACCATTAGTCCCTTCAAGGCAATCTAGGCTTTTTCTAGCATGCACCTCAAAACTCCAGTCTATACCCATCACCCAATTCCAAAGCCACTTCCACATTTTTATGTTTTTGTTACATCAGCACCCCAATTCATGATATCAAAATCTGCATTGGTCAGGGTTTTCCAGAGAAACAGAGTCACTAGAATATATAAGGAATCGGCTCATGTGCTTGTGGAGGCTGACCAAGATCTATAGAGTGAGTTAGCAAACTGGAGACTCAGAGAGTTGATGATGTAATTTTGGGCTAAGTCAGAAGGCCTGAGAACCAGACACGCTCAAGACCAGGAACAGCCAATGTTTTAGTTTGATTCTGAAGGCAGGAAAAAAGCTAATGCCCCAGTTACAAGGCAGTCAGGTCGGAGGAAGTCTCTCTTATTCCAGACAGGGTCAGACTTTTTGGTCTATGCAGGCCTTCAACTGATTGGATGAGGCCCACCCACATTATGGATGACAATCTTCTCTACTCAGCCTCCAGATTCAAATGTTAATCTCATCCAAAACACCTTCCCAGAAACACTCAGAATAATGTTTGTTCAAATATCTGGGCACTCCGTGGTCCAGTCAAGTTGCTACATAAAATTAACCATCACAGTTATTACCTGTCTTATTTATTATAGCCATTCTAGAGCATATGAAGTGATATCTCACTGTGGTTTTCACTTGCATTTCCCTGATGACTAATGGTGTTGAACACATTTTCATGTGCTTAATAACCATTTGTATATCTTCTTTGTTGAAAGATCAGTCATATTTTTGCCCATTTTTTTTATTGGGTTGTTTGTCTTCTTCTTATTGAGCCTAATGTGTTTTGTGATTAATTTTTTTCTTGTGAGCTCATATTTCTTGATACTTTTATTGTGGGAGCTTTGGGGATCAAGTTGAGGGTTATTTCTCTGGGAGGACCTGTGTTTACTCTGCCTGAAACCCAGGGGTACTACAGACACAGATCCACTTCCAATCAAATCCTCCCAAACAACTAAACAATTTTATGCTTTTAATCTTGCTGTGGCTCTGGTGACCTTATTTTCTGAACAAGAACAACAAAAAACCAGGATACATGGTCAGAATGGAAGTATTTATGGGGATCAAGGGCAAGATTATTTTATGTCATGACTGCCTGGGAAATCCAGATTGTATATAGTTACAGGCCATCTTCCCCCTAAGTTTTAGAGCCTAGCAGGGCCAAGTAGACAGAATTTAGTGTTATGAAAGTATTACCTGTAATTTAATTTTAAATACTTTAGATAGCATAATATGGGTGTACTATTTTTAATCAATATCCTAGGGATGGTTAGTTAACAAATGACGTGCCCTGATGAGGAAAATAAACTCCAGGAGAGGTTGATTATCTGTTGCAAGATTCTAAGATGTCCACATTTTAGAGAACTTTAACCATCTTTATCTACAATTAACACTGAGACTATATGGATTTTCCTTTGGTGAAATAAATAGTATTCATGATGTATGGATTGGCTACAAATACTGTACAGAGGCCACCTATTTTTGATGACAGGATATAGAAATCTAGGGAAACCAATGTGTATACTCTTTGTAATGGTGCTCTGGTTTAGATGACAAAACTGACGGTTTCAGAAAATTATCTGAGGATTGCTATTGTGATGATCTGTTGAACCCTGGCCCTAAAATATTACTTCCTGAGTATGGGATGAATCTTTTATGAAGGATTTTGTAAGAGTGCCTATAAAAACAGGAAGCTGGGACTTTATCAAATTTACAGAACGGTTTGTATAACTGTTTTTGAGTGCACTTGCTACTAAATGTTTGCAAGGGCAACAGAATAATTCTGCCTATATGTTATTATAACATACCCTGTAAGATAGCAAGGTTGTGGGGTAGAAGAACTTATAAAGTTTTAATATAATGTTAAACAAATAACATCTATAAAGAGTTAAGTGGTATCCTGCCAATAGATTCCTGCTTTGGAAATCCTCCTGCTCTAATAATTTTCAAACTCTATTCTGATTTGGGAAGGAGAGGAGAGTCCTTCAATGTAAGGATTAAAACAAGGTACAAGATATCTGAAGCTTAGAACAGCTTTGCCTTGCCTTATTCCATCCAGAGCATATGCATCTCTCTACAGCATAAGCCAAGATCTCTTGAAGCTTGATTCCAACCACCTCAGAAAAACTGGGGTTGGAGTGGGGTGCAGCTATTTGCCAAAATGGCTGAGAAAGGGGGAGAGATTTTTATTTCCTTGGGAGAAAATATTTTGTAATTGCAGAATTAGCCACGAGTACTTTTATATCATTTGAAGAAAGCTATTCTTGGCTCACAGATTCAGGCATCAATAAATAATGATAGGCAACATTTATTGCAGGCAATTTTCTCATTGTGCTAAGTATTTTTTGTACATCTCATGAATGTATGTACATTTCCATACAACCCTATGAATGGATGCTTTCATTCTTATTTTATATATAAGGAAAGTGGGGCGCAGAGCTCACATAATTAGGTGTTTGAACATAAACTCAACCTTACTCCTTCCTATTCACTACCTATATCCCCACGTCCTCTAGGGAAGGATGAACGGGGCAAGGCAATTTCAACATAAGCGGGTAAGCTAAATCCGTTTATAGTAGTTATCCACAAAAAGGGAGTCAGGATATTAAAAACGTGGCCATTTTAACAATTAGGCTCACTCCTAACTTCTAGAACCCCATTTCCAGCACCCCTTTGGGATGTACCTCGCTATACAGCAATGCGGCTAGAAAGCCAGGTGGGCCAATGAAGTGGCTGGATCTTGTGAACGGCACGTCGTTTGGCCAATGGGCTCAGGCGCTGAGGCCCCGCGAGAGGACCGGAAATGGGAATCTGTGCATGTGGGTCCTTGAGCGTAGCCGGTGCGTTGAGTTCTGGGTACTACTGATGCCAGCAGAGCCGAAGGGCAAGGGCCCTGGTGAGTGGACGGTAAACAGGTGTGGGAAGGACTCCTCTCCTTCTCAAATTGCAGACTTTTTGCTCAGGCTCGCGGTGGCTAGCAGGGTCCCTCCAGGCCCACTGCGGACTTCCCCCCCACCCCCTCACCCTCAGGCGCAAGGGGCTCTGGGCCACGTGTGGGGCCGAAAGTCGTTATTTGAGGCTGTGTGTGTGTGTGTGTGTGTGTGTAGAGAGGACGCAAGACTTCGAAAAGGTGGGAAGGTGGTGGCTGGGGGTGGGGGGGGTGGACTCACGCGGGGTTTGATTAGGCGTGAGTGTTATTTGGACCGAGATGGTGGGTAAGACTTCCTGGTTTTGGGAATGGTACTTTTCTCTGGGGTGGAAGGAAGGTAGGATTTGCCCTCAGGGGCCTCCCGTCAGGTTAAGCCCCAGTCCTGTTGCCCCACCTCAGAGCTTGCTCCTGGAGGCGCGGAATGTAGGCCTCGCTTGGCCTGGGACCCTTCCCTGTTAGACCTTAGAGTCAGCGAACTATCTGCTAACTAATTAAAAGTGAAAATCCACGTGAAGGGAGGGCCTTCTGGAGAGGTGCCCACATCTGTAGACGTGATGATAGAGGTGAGGGAGGGGTGGAGACAGAGGAGGGACGATTCCAGAAATCCTGTAACTGGTAGGTGTTAGCGCCTCTCAGTGTGTATGGGTTAGGGTTAGGTTCTGACCTGGAGACTTCGGGTCGTGGTGGGAAGGTGTGAGCAAAGAGGCCAGGCTAACTGGAAAGGAGTTTAAGCAATTAAAGGAGAGAGCTGTTCAAGTCTTCGAGGAAGGGAGGCATAATTCTGCCATTTTAGTGTAAAAGTGTAGTTAAAAGGGCCGGCCGAGTGGCTCAGTTGGTTAAGAGCTCGCTCAAGAGTTTGAGCTCTGAGCAACAGCGGTTTGGGTCCCGGCCCAAGGTGAGCAGCCGATGAGCTGCCAACAGGTGGCAGGATGGTTCAGCTAAAAAAAAAAAAAAAAAGTGTAGTTAAAAAATTTTTGTCAGATCCTAAACTACCTCCACCTAGAGTACTGACTTAAGAATTGTATGTCAGTCTTGTCTTTGTATGCGTGGACTGATTTCCCTGTAGCTAATACTTGTGACAGGCTTGTAAAAGTTAAGAGGCTTAACTTTTCAGTTAAGAAAGATTTTTCAGAGATCAGGGGTGGGTCGGGACAATGAAGGGAGCCCCTTAAAGAAGGAGTCCTAAAATCTATAGGTTATAAAGTGATTTGAAGAGGCCTAGTGGGCCTGAGAGTTGGGGGTCAGGAAGAGCCTCATCCTTGGTTACCTAGGGGAGAAAAAGGGCTTATGTGTTACATGAGATTCAGCAGGTGTTGTAGGCTCAAAGCAGAAAGGGCCTGTACCCTGGAGACCTCAGTTCTGGCGGAGTTCGAAAAGTTTTATAGAAAGGAATTGGATAAAGATGCAGCAACACAACTAAGACCAAGGAGGAGGTGGAATAGTACAATATGATAATGGACTGGAAAAAAATTCAGACTCTGGTAAAGAAAAGAAAGGCCAGAAACAAAGCAAAACCCATAAATAATATTTATTGACAGAATAATTTTATGATATGGCTGTGTTAACTTTCTTATGCTCATACATTAAAAAGTGCTTCCTTCTATTGTACAATAGGTACTTACAATAGGTATTAGACAATAGGGCTGAGTTGTCTGGGAGGCTGTTTAAGTAGAAAACACAGGAAAATTCAAGGAGAGCTTGGTCTCTCATGGATTGCTAATGGAGAGTGTTTAGAATATTCTTGGCTAAATAGAAGCTTTTGAAGTGGACATGATACAGGAAGCTGGTTGTGTCCCTGGTCTGACCCAAAGTAAGTTTTTTGGGGGTTTTTTTGTTGTTTGTTTTTTTTCTTTTTAACGCTTGGTGAGTCTGTCTCAAAGGAAAAGGAAAACAATTGGGAATCTTTAATCTTTATAAAATGCTGACAGGTAATTAACCAGAACAAGATTGGCACCCGTGTCGTCTGCAGCCTTTCAATGGATCCTGTCCGACCACCCTTCAGGGGCTCTCTTCATGGGTACCCATCTCAGTGTGTACGGATGCCAGGCTCTTGGCTACAAACTCCTAAACCTTTGGACTCAACTTCGGGCAGGGCAAGACCTGTAGGCAGAGGCCATATATTTGGAAAAGCAGAGGAACCAAGCCCACAGAGTGAGCCGGCACAAAGGGTAAGACCATGTCTGAACGCATAGTAGCAGCATACAGCTTATCATCAGAGGAAATAATGGATTTCAAAGTGCTTAGAAAACTCTGAAGTCCTATAGGAAAAGAAGAGTTGTTTTTTGTTTGTTTGTTTCCTTTAACAAGTAGTTGCATCTTCTGGGCATATATTTCAAATTCTAGAGTTGAGAGTCTAGAAAAAGTGCCTCATAATGAATGCTAGATGGACTTGGGTAAATGCCTTTGCTGTCTAGCTTGTATAAATATAAATACATACATAAATGGCAGGTGTAAAGATACAGCATTTTGCTCTTTTTCTGAGTGTTTAGAGTTTTAATCTGAATTTGGCTCAATGCTATTAATTAACAGCCACTCCTGCCTCTGTGGGAACAATTGTTAAGAATGGTTCCTTTCAGAAGGCTCTTGGTCCAAATCTTAAAGAAAAAGAGGATCTTCAGCTATTGTTATTGCTTGTATGTCTTTTCTTAATCTAATTATGTAGCAATTTTAAGAATGGCATTTGTCTAATTGATAAATCTCCAAGAATAAAGTTAACAAATAAATGTAGGAAGAATAGAATAATGCAGTTATGACAATTTTAAGTAGAGCTGACAGTGTCAAATATAATGTTCTGTAAAAAGAAAATTTTATACCTTTTATACTATGTTATACTTTTTACTTATGACAGTAATTTTATACTTTTCCTCAGATGAAATTGCTTGAGTATATATGTGCAGCTGAAACTGGTATAACAGCAGTAAATTTTCAAGCCTGCTATAGGAAAACAATAGCAAGTTTTGTTGGAGGTTGTTTAAAAAAAAAAAAACCCAAACCTCTGAGACCCTTAAATGATCTAGCTTTTTTGAAAATGTATTAACCAGTATATTTGTTCCCTCTTGGGGTGTACTGGTCCACCTTGGGTGTACAGGAAATGAACCAGAAAAATAGAAAAGTTAATTCCATTCTGTTATACTGTACACCAAATCATGGACTATAACTATTTATGGTTAAAAATCTAATATGGCTCCTTTTTGGCCGGGACCGCCATCTTCCAGTAATTCATCAAAATGACCAACACAAAGGGAAAGAGGAGAGGCAACCGCTATGTGTTCTCTAGGCCTTTTAGAAAACGTGGAGTTGTTCCTTTGGCCACATAAATGCAAATCCACAAGAAAGGTGATACTGTAGACATTGAGGGAATGGGCACTGCAAAAAGGAATGTCCTGGGCCAGCCGAGTGGCTCAGTTGGTTAAGAGTGGCTCAGTTGGTTTGATTCCCTCATAGGCCTGTGAGCTGCACTCGAGCTGAGCTGCTGCTGAGCTGCCAACAGGTGGCAGGATGGCTCAGTTGGTGAGAGCCTGGGCTTTTAGCAACAAGGTTGCAGGTTCTACTCCCGCATGGGATGGTGGGCTGTGCCCACCTGCAACTAAGATTGAACATGGCACCTTGAGTTGAGCGGGCGTGAGCTGCCATTGGTCCGCCGGAGGTGACTGGACTTGGAGCTGAGCTAGCTGCGCCCTCCACAACTAAGACTGAAGGACAACAACTTGGCTGTTCCCCTTCCCCAATTCCCCAATAAAACCTTTAAAAAAAAAAAAAAGGAATGTCCTACAAATGTTACTATGGCAAAACTGGAAGGGTCTACAGTGTTGCTCAGCATGTGGTTGGCATTGTTGTAAACAAACAAGGGCAAGATTCTTGCCAAGAGAATTAATGTTCGTATTGAACATCTTAAGCGCTCTAAAAGCCGAGACAGCTTCCTGAAACGGGTGGAGGAAAATGATCAGGAAAAGAAGGAAGCCAAAGAGAAAGGTACCTGGGTTCAACTGAATCACCAGCCTGCCCCGCCCAGAGAAGCACACTGTGTCAGAACCAATGGAAAGGACCCGGAGCTGGTGGAAACCCATTCCCTATGAATTCATGGCATAAGTGTAAAAAAATAAAAGACCTCTGTACTGTTAAAAAAACAAACAAACCCCAAAACCTAATATAACAGTTACGTGTTTCTTAAAAACTATAAGTATTTAAACATTTTTATGAGTTATTTTTATCTTTTATTGTAACATTTATAGAATTTAAAGATGATTTTTATTATTTACCAAGACTTTAAGAACACCCTCAGTGTTTCTGAGGTTTTAAACTACATCTTGGAATGACTTTATTTTTTGACTTTACATAGGATCCTGTGGATTTGGTCTCCATGTTCCGAGGCCTGGGTGGTGAAACAGTGTCCTGGACCCCTCCAAAACGGGCAATGCCTCCTTTAGGTATGTGGAAAAGTAACTTGAGAGGACGTGGTATGTGTGATTGCTTTGTTCTTTTAAAAATTTGTATAAAATTTATACAGTTTATCATCAGAAAAATTACAACATGTTCGACTCAACAGTTATAGCTGGGGTTTGATCCTTCCTTTCAGGTAGAGGCATTTTAGGTCGAGGCTTGTCTGCCAGTATGGTGCACAAAGGCAAAGAAGAACCCCGTCCCACTTCTCCAGATCTGTCATTGTTGGCAGCTGGGGATAGCCAGATGGCAGAGGCCTCCATTGGTTGGAATAGGTGGGTAAAGTTGCCTTCTCCGGGACCCGTCAAAATCAGATGACATCTCTCTTTAAGTTCAAAGGAAAACTTTAAAAAGGTTATATTCTTTCACAAACAATGTATGGTTTTATATTAAACAATGGATGCTTTCCAAGAGTAGTCAAGCAGCTACAGATCCAATCAGTATTTGGAAAAGGATAAAAAAGTAGTTCCCCACTGGTCAGTTAACAATTTTCATTTGCCCTCTTAAGAAGTTAGCCTGATTGTAGTGGTTTTTTAATCTAAGTGAGTCAAACTCCCACCTCAATTCTGCCATGGGAGTTGGCCCTGAGAGTAAATATTAGTAGCAGGTGGTGAGTGAGTCATGGCTGCCATATTGGACTTGGAGAGAATCCCAAGGCTTGGGTCCCCCTTGCTGACTACCCCAGGAAGAGAATGTAGACTTGGGGGAAATCATTTAGATGGGGAGAGATAGAAGCACGATGAAGCAAGTCCTGATTTGCCTCTTTTTAACATTTCAGAATGCTTGGAAGAGGAAATTCAGATACTGTATTACCGTTGGGAAGAGCAGCTGGTGGAATAGGCAGAGGTGTGTTCAAGGCTCCTGGTGCTGTCGGCGACGTGCCTTCTCGGGGTCCTGCCCAGCAGCCATCATTGCCACCTCTGCCCCTTTCCTCACCGCCCTCTCTGGATCACCTTCCACTGAGGACTGCAGAATACAAGGAAAAGTAAGTCAGGAGCCTGTGACCTTCCCTGCTTCGTAGTGATGTGGGAGGGGGCCTTCTCATTGTGTTGTAAATGCTGTTTCTGTTGTGTCTGAAGTCCTCTGTGGGTGGTAGGTACTGCAGGGTTGTTCGTTTTGTTTTTTGCTCCTGGGGAGAGGGACAAAGAGGTGGGACAATGCCTGAAGTGAAATGATGTTAATGATATAGATAGTATGTACCAAGAGAGTGAACTCATGACTTCGTTTCCTTCCCAATTTATACATAGACAATTCTTTGTCATGTTGAAGATAAGGCAATCACTTAGGGAAAATATTGCAGCAGTTCATTTTTCTCTATGGAATTAATTCTTATGTACTTAGTTAACTGGCCTAGTTTATTCCTATGATGTTACTAGGACAAATAGGGTGACCTTGCTTCTATAATTAGAGATTGCTATTCATTTATTTATCTACTAGTCTTTAAAGGTTGCTTTTGTATGTCTCAATTCTTGTTTTATGTACCTGTAAGCAAAGTGTGAAATATTACTTCCTTTCCTTTCCTTTCCTCTTTCCTTTCCTCTTTCCTTTCCTTTTTCCTTTCCTCTTTCCTTTCCTTTCCCTCTTCCCTTCCCTTCCCTTCCCTTCCCTTCCCTTCCCTTCCCTTCCCTTCCCTTCCCTTTCCTTTCCTGGTGTGGGTTGTTTGGTTTTTTGGTTTTGGTGTGTGTGGGTGCTTTTGTTTTTTATTTTCCAGACAGCTCCTTGTGAAGCAAGGATCAAAAGGAATACCTCAATCTTTGGGATTGAACCTTATCAAAATACAGTGTCATAATGAAGCAGTTTATCAATATCATGTGACTTTCAGGTATTCGCAGCTTTTTTTCTCTGTATTGTTTACTTAGAGAGCAATAATGAAATTGTTCCCCTGGAATAAGTCAGTATTTTTCTGTATAATTTCTGATGAACCTCTCCCTCACCCCACAATAATGCACGAATTGGATCATTGCAATAAGTTCAAGGTTAATATTTCTTTTTGTATTTAGTTATATTACCAATTCAGATTTTAACTTAATAGGTACAGTTTTTTAAAGCATGAGATTAAAGGTGGATTTATTGTGAAGTTAATGAAGCTTAAGTTCAGGATCGTGTACTTACATAGATCCCTTCCATGACCTTTTAACTTATTTTTTATTTATAATTTTGCATTCCACTTTTTTTTTAGCTAAGCCATCCTGCCACCTGTTGGCAGTTCAGCTTGGGCCAGGACTCGAACCACTGTTGCTCAGGGCTCAAACTCTTAAGTGAGCTCTTAACTAACTGAGCCACTCGGCCGGCCCTGCATTCCACTTCTTAAAGGGAGTCCCTCTCCCCCAGTGGTATAAGGTGCACATCCCACAAAACCTGGATCTTCCCTGCATGAATCTCATACCAATATTTGATGGTTCTCCAGTGGCAGTCTAGGGTTAAATGTGAGGGTGAGAAAAGCAGAGAAAATAATTTTAATGTATATCAATAACTTTAGGATGGATCATACTTTTTAAAAATCAAGAATTCATATTAGTTTGTGTTCTCTTAAATTCTCAGGAGAGTCATTAGCTGGAGGTTATTAGCTGGAATTATGAAAATGAATGACTATTTTGGAATATCTGTGGAGAAATTAGGAAGATGGGAGACTGAATTTTTGAAGGACAGCTACTAATTGGTACAAGAGGAGGAAGTGGATTGAAAAGAAAGGAACAGTTAGGGAGGAAAATACCCTGAAGACAGGTTATAAAGACCAAAGGGAAGGCCCATTTGAATGGTGAGGAGGTGGTTGACTTTGGGCACAGGAAAACATTGTTGAATATGCTTTCAAGAGCCCCCTTGGTGACCTAGTACTTTGTTAGAGTTATGGAGGAAAAAACTAGACTAAAAGAACAAAGGAGAGCATAGAGATAGTCAGTGAATTGGCTACTTATTTAGATAGTGTGTAAGGGGAAGGAGAAATGGAATGATAATTAAAGAAGGTAGCAGGATTGCTTTAAAAGTTTCTGTGAGGTAAGAAAGCAGAGCTGAGCACATAGACAGGTGAAGAGAAAAAGCCAGAAAAGGGGGTGAAATTGAACCCTGGAGAGAAGGTAGTGGGAATAGGCCTCTTCCGGAATGTAAAGGAAGGAGATGAACATTAATGAGAGGAAGAACCCTTTCTCTGAAATTGGATTGACAAATGTTAATGAAACAGAAAGGAGTGTGAGGTCTCGACATTGACCTTCGAGAAGACGTGGATTCTGTGAAGTTCCAAATTGTGGAACTTGAAGCCACAATGAGAAGAGGATGTATTACAATGAACTGGTTGTCCTTTGGTTTCCACATACTATATGAAGGGATTCTGGGAAAACATCTTTAAATACTGTGTTTAGGGCATAACACCATGTATGTGTATGAATTTTTTTGAAGAAATATTTTGAAATGTAGTGTTAGTATGTGAGTGCTAGTTTTGGGGACAACTATGTTGGATTACCACTTTGCTTTTTAAATCTTTATTCATGTACTTGAACATGCTTGACTCTTTTTTAGCCCTGGATTTATTTAAACTTTGCAGTTGTAGAACAAGATTGTGTGTTACTGTAATGTAATGGGACTATTATGGTACAAAGTAACTACTAGAATTTTTCAAAGCTGTAAGATTTGTGGCAATGAATCAGTAAAAAGTTGAAACTGCCATGAATGAAAAAAGATTAGAGTAAAATCCCATAATCAAGTTTTGCTGGAAGATAGCGGTGTTCATTGGTTTGCACATTGTCTTTGGTGCTTTTGTGCTATGTCGGCAGAGTTGAGTAGTTGCAGCAAAGACCATATGGCCCATAAAGCCTAAAATATTTACTACCTGGCCCTTTATAGAAAAAGCTTTCTGACTCTGTGGTCTAAACTCTGGAAGAATATATACTAACATATAACACTGCTGAGGTGGTGGAATTATGGGTTGTTTTTATTTTTTGTAAGTATCCTTGGGTCAAAGTTCTTTTTTTAGTCAGATCGAGTATTTGAATTTTTAATATGACCACTAGATGGAGCAGTAGTTACAAGAGACTGCTTCTCTAACAAACCTATTGCAGTCAAGACTGCTGTTTGAGTCCAATTGAAGTAAAATCCTCTTTATTAATATTTTCTAGCCCCAGTGTGGAGTGCAAAAGCATGAGGTTTGGCATGTTGAAGGACCATCAAGCTGTCACTGGAAACGTCACTGCTTTCGACGGATCCATTCTCTATCTGCCTGTTAAGCTTCAACAAGTGAGACCACACCGGAAATGTATTTGGGGATGAAACCTAGGAGTATTCTGGTGCTTTGAGTGGTGGGAATTCATAGGCTTCTTGAGCATTTGAGTTGTATTTTTCTATTCTTAGAGGGAAGGCAGATTTCTCCATAACAAAGAAATGACAAACTGAGAAACTTATATTTGAGTTCTTCAAGGGGTCCCTTCTCACATAAGAGGAGTGGGTGGAAGCTTTTGACTTCTGTGACAAAGAATGGTTTCAGCTTTCAAATACAAAGGAATCTATTGCTAGTTCTCCGTTGGGTTCCTTTTACCAAATCCTATCTTACATCCTGGTTGTTAGTGCTGTGATTTTGTGAAGTGGAAGTAGAAAACATGTTTAAGATGTTTTTAGTGTTTTCCAGGACACAGTTGGATTAGATTAGGACTTGGTTGTCTTGTCATTTCTTTTACTTGCATATGTTTATTTGTTAGGTTCTTGAGTTAAAAAGTCAGAGGAAAACTGATGGTGCCAAGATCAGCGTTAAGATTCAGTTGACCAAGATCCTGGAGCCTTGTTCTGACTTGTGCATTCCCTTCTACAATGTTGTTTTCCGTCGGTGAGAAAACAGCTGACGTCTTATTTTCTTTAACCTCAGTCTTATATTTGTAACAGTGCTCTTCAAGAAACTTGGATGGAACCACACTACAGTGTGTATATAGATGAGTTCGGAAACATTTAATAAATAGATGATATTGAGCTAATGTCCTCAAAAGTTATCTCAAGTGATTTACCAGATTTGGGTATATGAAAGTAGGTGTGAGGTAGTTGAATGGGGGATGGGTTCCTTTGGATACATTCAGGAACTTTATTATTATTATTTTTTAAGATTTTATTGGGGAATTGAAGAAGGGGAACAGTGTTGGAGAAGGGGAACAGCCAAGTTGTTGTTGCGGAGGGTGCAGCTAGCTTAGCTCCAAGTCCAGTCGCCATCCGGCTGTCTGGCGGCAGCTCGCGGCAGCTCAGCTCAAGGTGCCGGGCTCAATCTTAGTTGCACGTGGGCGTAACCAACCATCCCGTAGGGGAGTTGAACTGGCAACCTTGTTGTTAGGAGCACGTGCTCTCAGCAGCTGATGCCATCCTGCCACCTGTTGACAGCTCAGAAGCAGCTCAGCTTGGGCGCAGCTCACTGGCCCACGTAGGAATCTAACCGGTGACTCTGTTGCTCAGAGCTTGCGCTCTTAACCAACTGAGCTGCTCGGCAGCCCCTCTTTCAGGAACTTTAAAAGCAGATGTTTATAGTGCACATTTAATGGTGTTAGTGATGGGACTACTTGAAGAGGTAATGTGTAAAAATTTTTGCTGGAAGAATTTTTTTCCCACTCTCTTGAATTTTTAAATACATCCTGCTCATAATTTTAAAGGTTTCTTAGGTTCCCTCATTTTTGTAACATTATTCCCAAACCACCTCTATTTTTAATGAAACACAGAACCTAATTTCTACCTAGTAAGTTGAACTGCCAGGAACAAACATAACTTCTTATGCCAGACTGATATTCACAAACTTAGAAATTAACACTTTTGCATTCTTTTTAGTTAATGGTGAAAGTAATGTAAATTGAGCCTGGGAAATAAACTTGATTTTTGGTTACCTAGTAAGTAGGAAAAGCTGTAATAAGTTCCATATACCCCAAGATAAATGTGGTAAATTTTCTTTTTCTTTTGGCAAGTGTTCTCATGATAAAAGCTATATTGTACAAAGAGCACTGACGTTTCTGACTCTTTAGGCTTCCAAAGGAAATGTAGCTAAGAGTAATGAAACTGAATTTTTTTATTCTTCTACTAGAAAACCCATTCTTGCTCTTTATTTCAGGGTAATGAAACTTTTGGATATGAAGCTTGTGGGCAGAAACTTCTATGACCCGACAAATGCTATGGTACTGCAGCAGCACAGGTCAGTTGTGTTTGCCTCTTCCTCACTTTAGAATATTCTGGAAAGAAATTTTTCGTTGCAATCACCATATTTACGACAAGAATCTCAGCAGTATTTTACGATAATGCATGCAATTTATCAGTTAAATCTCTTCCATAGTTTAGTATTTTAATAAGTTCACAACGATGTTGATTTAATTGAATTTGTTTCCTGGTGCTTTCTCATTATTGCTAGGGAGAGGCAGTATATGCTCAAAGTACTGTTTCAGATGGGAGCTTGGAAATGTCTGTGGTTCTTTTAGAACCCCAAGGTAAAGCCCACCTATCTCTTCAGATTGCAGATCTGGCCAGGCTATGCAGTCAGCATCCGGAGGACAGATGGCGGTCTCTTCCTGCTAGCTGATGTCTCCCATAAGGTCATTCGAAATGATTCTGTGCTGGACATCATGTGAGTGAATGGTGGGGTCTACCTTTAACAAGCTAACAGTTTTCTGAAAAGCTCCATAATAGCTGATAATAAATACAGTTTAGCTATTATTGTTCTGTCTGGGTTTTAAGTTATAGAACAAATGAAGGATGTTGCATGGATGTGCTCCAATCCATGAAGTCCTGCCAAGGCAGGAATCTGCATAGAAACCTGCTGTGCTTTACTGAAGAGGAATTGTATTTAAGTCTCTGGTTAAGAAGACTTAGTTTAACATACACAGACCCTGAGTTTTTGCTTAAATGTGTTTAAGCAAATATTTATATTTGCTCTAGCATATATTTACTGTAGTAAGTATAGATGTGTATAATTTATAGTGGCTACATGAAGTGCATCTCTGATTAATTTTTTAGGCTTTATACTTAGAAGTGGAATTACTTAAAGGGCTGAACATTTTAATGACTTCAAATATTTATTACAATATAGTAAGATACTTAAATATATATTGACAGATTATCTTCTGGAAGTTTATTTATTCAGTTTGTTTTCCCACCAGCTATGTACAACTACTGTGTGTTACTAGGCTTATAAATCTTTGCTTGTCTGATAAATTCATTCATTCCTTCAAGTATATTTACTGAGCTCCAGTTGTGTACCAGTCTTGGGACATATCAGTTAACAAAACAAAGAAAAATCCTTTTCCTCATTGAGTTAAATTGTAGTCAGGTGAGATAATAAATAAAAAGCGTGATAAGTAAATTGTATCGTGTACTAGAAGCGATGAGGGCTATAAAAGAAAGAACACTACAGCACAGGGCAGGAGAGATGCGGAGTACTAGGGGGGTGGGGTGGGGGGAGTGGAGAGCTGTAGTTTTAGGTAGAGTGGTCAAGCTCATTTTTGCCAACACTGTTAAGAGGCGAGAGAGTTAGCCAGGTGAAGATGTGGGCGAAGGGAGTTCTTAGCAGAGGGACAACCAGGGTAAAAGCCTTAAGACTGAAGTATGCCTGGCTCATTCAGGGAGAGGCAGGGAAGCCGGGATGGCTAGAGCAGAGTGAGGTCAGAGTGGTGGATGGAAGGAGCAGATAGAGGACCTGAGCAGAGAAGGTTTTGTAAGGCTACTGTCGGGATTTACTCAGAGTGAAACGCAGGCCTTGTAGCTGAGGACTGGACTGACATGGTGTGACTTGAATGTGAAAGGATCCATCCAGTTGCTGCGAAGAGAATAGATTAGTAGGACGGGGTGGAAGTGGGGAGACCAACCAGGAGGCTACTGTAACCCAGTGGGGGAATGAGGGGAGCAGCCATGGAGGTGCCGAGAAGTGGTCGGTCTCTGCATATATTTTGAAAGCAGTGCTCGGTCGATTTCCTCATTGGATTGGGGCGGGGGGGGGGGGGGGGGGTGAGAAAGAGAGAAGTTGGGGATGACTCAGACCTTTTTCAGTGAATTCGTAATGATTTATTCTCTCTCCTTGAACGCAGCAGGCCATGTCTTTCTCTCCTATGGTACACTCAGCCCTAGTTTATTCCTAGCAGGTATTAAGTGTTTAAGAATACCAAATAAAAATAGATGTCTTCAAATTCACTCTTTCTTCATGGTTTCTGCCTTCACTTTTCTGCTTAGAAAGGTCTACTTATTTTATATTTTCCAATGTTTTAAACCTTTTGGAATTTATCTTGGTGTGATGTTGGGATCATCATGACTGTCTTGGTACTGTTAAATAATTTTTGGAAAATATTTTTCTTTAGATTTAAATCATTCTAAAATACTTGGATTTATTTCTGAATATTTCATTTTGATCCACTGGTTAAAAGCAATATGATATTGTTTTAATGATTGTAATTTTATTAGGTTTTGATATTTGTCAACTAATTCTATTTTTAGAATTTTTGATTTTCATAGTGAATGTCACCCACATACTCTTTTGTGTGATCAGTTGAGTAATTTAGTGAAAAAAAGAATCGTCAGTTGGCACTTTGATTGACATGGACTGGGGAGAATGTCCAGTGAGTCTTTCTATTCACAAATATGGCATGTCTTTCCATTTATTGAAATTTTTAGTTAAAGTTTTATTTAGGTAAAAGTATTAGTCGTATTTTATTGACTACGCAAAAGCTATATATAGGTGAGCTATGTACAAGTAGTATATACTATGATTATTTTTATTTTCTGCTTAGTTTATGTTGGATATAAAAATTGTCTTTCTTTTCATTTTCTAAGAACATAGTTGTATATGTTCTTACCACTAATACTTCAAATTCTCCTCATTGTACATTCCAATGCCAGGTATTTTGTCAGTTTCATTCTCCCTCCCTCTCCCCCCCCAAAATTATATTTTTTGGATTGTCTAAATCAAATTAGATATAGCTTTGAGTACCCATTCTCTAAGATAGTAAGTCCTATGTCAGGCATCACCCCATTATGTCACACACACAACCGTGAGGTGTTTGTGATCCTGGTGGTTAGTCCAGCTGCAGTGTCCGAGCTCTCAGACACAAAGAGCATGAGCATGCTGTCCGGTGTGGAGCTCTGCATGTCTTAGTCCTCCCTCGTACCCATGCAACTGTCACAGACTTGGGGTTCTGCCACGTCTCCTCCCCTAAGCCCTTCATATTATGAACCACTGGAAACCACAAAAGAGCAGTTATTTTCTTGGAGGTCAGAAATGCCCAGTCTTTAGAAATGCAGCGGCTTCTATCTTTATCAGAAATGGTCCAGGAATGGTTCACGTATTTCTCAAAAGATAGTGAGCCAACTAAGGTTTGCCAAATAAGTTAAGTTTCATATGTGGCTATTAAGTTCTCAGTAATTCATTTAATAACTCATCCCCACAAAATTCAGTGTCATCTTTGAAATCCCCGTTAAAGTCTGATTGGCTTCAATTTGGACCGGTTCATCTCCAGGCTGGCTGATAATGGTTGTCTTGGGATTCCTCTTCATTGTAGTGAGGACGTCCTTTCCCTCTTAGGGCAAATCTGTAGCTCGGATCCCTGACTACATCTTTCTTGGTTTACTCTCCTGTTTTGGTGTAAAGTGTATCTTCCAGTATTTTCCAGAGGAAGGCAACATTGCAGAAAATGTTTTTGAGATCTGTCTTTATTTTACTTTCGTTTGGGCATAAAATTCTAGATTGGAGACAGTTTTGCCTTAGAATTTTAAAAGCATTGTTCCATTGTCCATTTTAAAAAAATAATCTTTATTCACATTCACATATTCTTTCACAATGAGACTGTTTTTTTGTTTAACTCTTTGGGTGTTCTTATAGTAATGCTCTATTTGAATACACCTTTTATTTCTAGATTTTCCCACTTCTTCATCCTGTGAGTGAGTAAACAACCATTTCCTACACCATCATTCCATCTTTTTAACCTTATTTATACCTTTTGGGCAAGCCCAAAACTTGATTTTGACATTGCTTCATCCCTTCTTTTTTTATTTATCCATAGTCTTCTCCCCCTTGCCCCCCAACTTCATCTATTTGTTAAATGCTGTATAGGTACTACACTTTAAAAAAATTATTATTATGGTTTAGTAGTACTATATTTTAATATTGGTAAGGCAAGTCCTTCCTCCTTGCTCATATATTTACTATCTTCCTTTATCTTTCCTATAACTGTTTTCACATTTATCCAGATTAATTTCTGAATCTTTTTGTTGAGCTCCCCCAAAATGCCATTGCAGTTTTGCTCCATTGTCATTTTGCTTTCTGATTTGCCGCTTAAAAAAAAAAAATCTAAAGCCATTCTTATTTCTGATCCCAGGATCTTTGTATGCCCCCCCAAACCCCTCCCCCCAACACACCCACACACCCTTGGAAGCTTTGGTAGCTTCTCTTTACGCCAATCTTCTGAAATTTATGTGTTCTTAATTTCTTCCACATCTCAGGATTCTATTTTTCCTTTGCCTGAGGAACCCCTGGAGTGTTTCCTTTTGTGTGGAATCTGCTGGTGACATACTCTCACAGTTTTTATTTATTTAAAAAAAATGTGTTTTATCTTGCCTTTAACTTAGAATTCTAGATTTGGCAGTTATTTTCTTTAAGCGCTTTGAAAATATCCTGTTATCTCTTGGTGTACCATGTTTGTATTAACAAATCTACTACAAATGTTACTGTTTTTTTTTTTTTACGGTATTATGTCCCCCCCTGCTCTTTTTCGTTTGTTTTGGATTTTCAACAGTTTCACTATAGTGTGTCTAGATGTGGTTTCCCAGTATTGATACTGCTTGGCCCTTCTGTAATCTTCTCCCCTTGAATGTGGGCTGCATTTATTGACTTGTTTCTAATGAATAGAATATGGCAGAACTGATGGGATGTCACCTTTTAAAAAAAATTTGAGATATAATTTACATATAACAACATAATGACTCCTTAATGTATACGTTGTGAATGATCACAATAAGTCTAGTTAACATTCATCACCATATATAGTTACAAAGATTTTTCTTGTCAGAAAAAAGTTCTTATTAGATCTTTTAAGATCTACTCTTTTAGCAAGTTCAAAATATACAATACAGTATTATTAACTATAGTCACTAGACTGCCCATTATACCTCAGGACTTACTTATTTTATAACAGGAAGTTTGTACCTTTTGATCATCTTTACCTATTTCACCTGCCTCTGGCAACCAGCAGTCTATTCTCTGTACCTATGATTTAGGGTTTTGATTTTTTTTAGATTCCACATATAAGTGAGATCATACATATTTGCCTTTCTCTGTCTGATTTATTTCACTTAGCATAATATCCTCAAGGTTCAATGTGTTGCAGATGGCAGGATTTCTTCTTTTTTATAACTGAATAATAGTCCATTATATATATCACATTTTCTTTATCCATCCATCTGTTATTGGACACTTAAGTTGCTTCCATGTCTTGGCTACTGTAAATAATGGTGCAGTGAACAGGAGGGTGCATAAATCTTTTATTTTTCTGAGTTGGTTTTTTTTTGTTTCCTTCAGATAAATACCCAGAAGTGGAATTGCTGGATCATATGGTAGTTCTATTTTTAACTTTTTGAGGACCT